TACCCCCCTCCCTCTCCATCCTCCTCACTTCTCCCAGCCCCCACCGCCGCACCCTTCCGAAAAAGATTCCGGGCCAGGAAAGCGGGGGGAGGCGTAAAAAGGAAAAAAAGGGAGGGGGAAACTCTCCTCCTCCACTTCTCTCTATTTTAAAATTTTCCTTCCTTCATTATTAATAAAGGGGCGGATAAGGCATAACCAAAAGGGAATAGAGGAAGAGAGGGGGGATGAGGGGTTGGGTTTGACTTGAACTCGTAGGGGGCGGTGGTGTTTTGTGTGTTGGGGGAAATTTGGGGGAGGGGGAGTAGTAGACATTTGTTAGTATTGTAAACAGTGGGAAAATTCAGGGTTTTGGTTTAAAACATGTTTTAAAACTTTTGGTTAAAAACATAAAGTGGGTTACAATTTAAATTACCCTTTCTTTTTTTATTTTATATATTTTAAATTTAGTAATATTTAATAAATGATAACATAAAGATAAAAAAAAGGGAAAAATTTTTTGGCAAAAAGGAATTTCTACAATTTAAACCCAAACTTTTGACCAGAAGAAAAAAAAAATCTTGAGGCGACCACACGGAGGTTGAGTAAAGGTTTATTTTGGGCTGTGAGCCCGGGGTAGGAAATTAAAAACAAAGGGCAAAAACCACTCTTATGGGGGGGAGGGAAAGGGAAAAAAGGGGGGAAAGGGGAAAAGAAGAGGGAAAGGAGAAGGGGGGAAAGAGGAGGGAAAAAAGGGGGCGGAAAAAGGGAAGGGGAGAAGGGAAGGGGGAAAGAGAGGGGAAAAGGGGGAAAAGGAGGAAAAGAGAAAGGGGGGGAAAAAGGAGGGAAAGGGGGGAAAAAAAAGCGAGAGGGGAAGGAGGGAAGGAGAGGAAAGCGAGAAGGGAAAAGGGAGAGAGGGGAAAAAAGGGGGAAAAAGGGGGGAAAAGGGAGGGGGGGGGGAGAGGAGGCAGGAAAGAGGGGGAGGGGGGAAAGGCGGGAAAAGGGAGAGGGAGGGAAAGAGAAAAAAAAAAGAGAAGAAGAGGGAAAAAAGGGGGAAAAGAAGCCCCTTTTTTTTTGAAAACCCTTCGTCTTTTTTCTTTTTTTTTCTTCTCCTCCTCCCCTCTCTCTCTCTCCCCTCCCCTTTTCTCTCCTCTCTCTCTCTGTGTGGGGGAAACGAAGGGATACCACTGTTCCTGGCTGCCACATTACACACAGCACCCCGCTGACAACTTCTCCCTTCCTCACTCGCTCTTTCTTTTTCAAGTCTCTCTCTCTTTCCGTCTCTGTCTCATCTCCCTCTCTCCATCTTTCCATCTCTCTTTCTCCCTATAGGGCACCCAACTAGGTGCCAAGGGGAGAATATCACAGTCAAGCACCAGGAGGGTGAGACATACCTTTAGACACAGACTGTACTGGATATAACTGTGCATCTTTGTTGCATGCACACACGTGCGTGTGTGTGTGTGTTGCTTAGGTAAAGTATAGAAACAGGAGCAGATGGCTTGGTCTTCCCCAGCAGAGAGACGTGATTAAGCAGAGCCTTTGATCCACTGAACTAAATTACACAAACAGCAGCCCAAAGCTAATACAGCCAAGAGTGTGTGTGTGTGTGTGTGTGTGTGTGTGTGTGTATGTGTGTGTGTGAGCCAGAGCTAATAGAGAGTGGCAGACTGGCAGGAGGGGCAACCCCATCCCTTCATCCTCTCCCCTTCTCTTCCTCCTATTCTCCATCCCCCTTTCCTCTCATCTTCCTTACTTCTCATATCCATCTATTCTCCTGTATACTTACGTATTCAGTGATTTACCCATATCATGTCCTTTTCTCTCCACTCCATTCCTTCATTTCATTTCTCCCTCCTCCCCTATTTTCTATATTTCCTCCCTCTTCTCCTCCCTCCATCATTTTCTCTTCCCTTCCTCCAAAGTTATGTGTAAAAAGAGGGAACTGCCCCTGTTCAGCTAATATAAGAGTTCTCTGTCATGTTAGAGAACTACGCACACACACACACACACACACACACCTCCTCTGAGCGCTGGCTTGCCTAATACAATTATACAGTAAAACAATAATTCGATGTGATGGACAGATTTGGGGTCGGCCTGTCGCATCTGTCTGTCTCACTGGAGCATGTAATAGAAAGAGAATCTCCACGTGTGACTATTCTACCTCAATATGTGGAGATATGACTGTAAACACAAACATGTCCTTACATTCCCTTACCAGGAAAGGGGAGATTGAGAGGGGAAGGAGAGAGGGAGAGAGAGAGAGACAGAGAGAGAGAGAGGACTTTGCTCTCTCATCTAGCAGACAGACAGTGACACAGTCAGAGAGTTCTGGGGTTTGAGGACAGAGGGTTGCTCCTGCATATTTTACAGCCTACCCTGCTACCATCTGGTGCCTGTGACACATGCACACACACACACACACACACACTTGCACACACAAACACGCACACACACATATAGACAGACACACACGCACACACATATGCTACACATACACACACACGCACACACACACTCTTTCCCCCTGCATGAGCGTGGGTACACAACCTACAGCTGGTGGTACAGTAACAAAAACAGTTCTATGGATAGTGGATGAATCGTGGGTCATCGTGAAGAACAAGGAACCACAACAAACAACAGGAAAATGTCCACAAACGTCTATAGCGTACTAAGTCGGATGAGAGAGAGGCAGGAGGACGGGTGGGGAGTGCGGGATGGGACCCTACCTCCCGTGAACGTTGAACCCTGACTTCTGAACCACCATGGTGGGGGACACACAGAACATGCTAGAAACTCTGTACCTGTCAGTGTGCCTTCAGAGAGGACCCAACTCACCCCCGGAATCATCAACACATCTAGAAGAACGAGACCAGGTTAGTCAGAGAGAGGTGTGGAACGAGGGATGGGCGAAGGAGAGAGTGTAAGAAGGAGAAATAGGGGTGAAGTAAGAGCAGAAGGATGAAGATGATAAAGTGAGCTGGTTCAACTTCCTACTGTGAGTCTTTTCCACTTATTCTGAGTCCAGTGTGAGCTCTTGATACAGTTGATAAGGGTTCAATGATTCAGTTGGGGATTTTGTAGAGAGTCGATCCCCGATTTTCAAACCCAAAATCCAAAAGATCTGTGACACAAATTACTGAGATTCAAATAGAGCCACTCGGATGGAGTAAAAAAATATCAATAAATAAAGCAACCCCTACATCAGAAGAAAACAACTTACGTTTCCCTTCTCTTCACAAACTCTTGTGCCAACCAGAAAAGGATAACTATAGATTCTGAAGCCTGCCCAGTCACAAGGGTTATACCTCTACTGTACATATCTTTATCAACCATTCTCTTACTCTGTCAAAATATTCTACAACTTCAGTTACAGTTGTGAGTAAAATGGTTTCCAAGCAACAGAAAAAGAACAAGCTTGAGGTTACAGATCTGATAAAGGAAAGACTATAAACTATAGACAAACTAAATATAATCTATAGAAAAATGAAACAGAGAAAAAAACCAATGGACATGAGGGGCCTTGAACAATTATAGAGACGCATAGAGGAGGGCATGTTCATTCTCTATTTTTTAGGAAGAATTTGAGATTAGTTTGTGCAGGCCTGTACAGGGGAAAGGGGGATACCTAGTCAGTTGCACAACTGAATGCATTCAACCAAAATATATCTTCAGCATTTAACCCAACCCCTCTGAATCAGAGAGGTGCGGGGGACTGCCTTAATTGACATCATCGGCACCCAGGGAGCAGTTGTTGGGGTTTAATTGCCTTGCTCATGGGCAGAAAGGCAGATTTTTCCACCTTGCCGGCTCAGGGATTCGAATCAGCAACCTTTCGGTAACTGGCCCAACGCTCTTAACCGCTAGGCTACCTGCCACAGGTGTGTGTGTGAGTGAGCGCAAGAGGGTGGGAGTAAAAGAGTGAGCGAGTGAGTGAGAGGGAGACAGTGTGTGTTCGGTCTGTTTGAGTGACTGTATGTGTGTGAGAGGGTGTGAGTCAATGGTGAGCACTTTGGGCACACCACATCTGCAAGAGAAGTTTGATATCCATCTGTATTTCTCAAGAGAAGTTTGATATCCATCTGTATTTCTCAAGAGAAGTTTGATATCCATCTGTATTTCTCAACAGATGAACAAAGGCATTCCCACTGTCAACTACCATCAACATTTGATGAAAAATATCAAAATGATCTTACTTTGATCCACCAAAAGTATCTCTACAGCCAATACGGCTACTGAAATAACCACTATTTCTCATATCCAATGTCTGGGTTAGAAGGCAGTGGAATCACTATAGAGAGAGGCGAAATCGGGCATCTGGTAACCCGTTCCTGTACAGCTGGAGGGGCGGTCGGGCACAGATCTAGGATCAGCTTACCTTCGTATAATCCCAACACTTTCCATATGGAAGAAACCATAGATCAGCATCTAGGTACTTCCTAGTTTGGTTTGTAGTTCTACCTACCCCTCCAGATGTACTCAACTACATGCAGGAGAGGAGGGGGAAGGGGGAAGATAGGGGGGATGTAACCTCGCCCTCACCCCACCCCCCTCCCTCTAATTCTAAAAGTACCACACCATGCAAGTCCCGCCCACAAGTACTCACTGGGCATGCTCCAAGGGGACGGTCCTAAGTACGCCCTCTACGATAGGCCAGGCAGGGAAAAGGGGGGGGGGGGATCTACTCTTACTAGACCAGCGCTCAACAACTCCGATCCTGGAGAGAGGCTGGGTGTGTGGGCTTTTGTTCCAGCCCAGCACTAACACACCTGATTCCAGGTTTTTAACAATTACTGCTGGGCTGGAACCAAAGCCTGCACACCCAGTAGCTCTCCTGGACAAGAATGGGTGACCACTGACCCCCCGCAAAGAGAGGACATCTAGCGGGGAGACTACAGGGAGAAAAAAACGGAAGAAATAGCAACTATTTCAGGTCTAGCGCGTTCCTACGTCCGTTGACTTCGGTCAAATCAAACCAAAACAAGCTCAAACCAGGCAGGACTCAGAAAGATGTGGAAAGACTACCGACCAGCCAGCTCCTTCTCCTTACTCCGTCTCTTTTTCTCCATCCGTTTCAGTCTCTTCTCCTCCCTGCGTTTGGCCTCCTCGGCCTCCTGGCTACGCCGACACTTGTGGAAGTTCTCCACCACCACACCCACGAACATGTTGAGCACGAAGAAGCTGACGATGAGCAGGAAGGAGATGAAGTAGAGGAGCATCCATGGGTTGTAGTTCAGCTGCGGCTGGAGGGGGGAGACATACACAGAGCATAGTGTTGTATACTGTACTCTCACACACAGCGTGATGTTATATACACACACTCATTTTTGGCACGTTATGATTATTGTGGTGGTGCACTCAATGCAAATGCTGCAAAACCAGCCCCACATCCCACTGGGCACAGACGTCAATTTAACATATTTTCCACATTGGTTCAACGTCACTTTATTGAAATGACATGGACCCAAAGTTGATTCAACCAGTGTGTGCCCAGTGGGATGTGTGTGTGTGTGTCTCTATCCAACTTGAGTAGAACACACTACCAGCTAGCTGTCTTTTGTGACTGCCAGGACACCGTCATACACCTACTTATCCTGCTGCTACAGTCAACACTACAAAATATAGAAATGAATGCATAAATACATGAATAATACAGTTTATTTTTATACAAAACAGCACATCAGGAAAGCAAAATGTATGAATATACACAGTACTATAAGCTGCAGATCATGTGGAAGAAGCTAGAGGAACGTTGGATGTTGTGTTGGAGTCTGTTGGACAGTAAGCAGCTTACAGAGAAGAGGAGATCAATGCCTAGTCCCTAAAGCAGAGACAGAAACGCTGACCTGATGTTTCATAAACATCAACACGTCTCTGGTCCTGGCCAACCAAGCCTTTGTTCTACTGTTCTGCTATCTCTAGTGAACAGACAAAAAGTGTGTGTGTGTGTGTGTGTGTGTGTGTGTGTGTGTACATATACAGTGGCTAGTGAGTTTACACACCCCTTCCACAGTCTTCATATTTTGCTGTCTTAAAATTAACTAAATTAGATTACATAATCTACTCCGCATTTTCAAAGTGAAAGGTATAGAACATTTTCCAAAGATGTCTTGATTGCTTATGTCTTCACACACCAGAGTTAATATTTTCTGGAAGCATTTCTATAATAATAATATTCTACCAAATTTACACAACTCTTAGGGCTATCTATCCATTGTTTTTGTCAAAATTGCTCAAACTCGTCAAAATTGCTCAAAATTGCTCAAAGTAAATTTGGTTGGGAATCATTGACGGGTCGCAGGGGCGGACTGGGACAAGAATTCGGCCCTGGCATTTTATCCACACCATCCCACATCACTGTCCACACCAGCCCACATGACTATTAGAGGGCTCCAGACTAACAATTTCCCCTGGTGTCACTGGTGCCACAAACTTTTACAGTTGGTGACACCAGCCCATGATTTGGTCGGACCCACTTAACAAAGAGCTGCAGTCAGTTTCAGAATGGGTGGCAATAAATAAGTTAGTCCTAAATATTTCAAAAACTAAAAGCATTGAATTTGGGACAAATCATTCACTAAACCCTAAACCTCAACTAAATCTTGTAAGGAATTATGTGGAAATGTAGCAAGTTGAGGAGACTAAACTGCATGGAGTAACCCTGGATTGTAAACTGTCATGGTCAAAACATATTGATGCAACAGTAGCTAAGATGGGGAGACGTCTGTCCATAATAAAGCGTTACTCTGCCTTCTTAACAACGCTAGCAACAAGGCAGGTCTTACAGGCCCTAGTTTTGTCGCACCTGGACTACTGTCCAGTCATGTGGTAAGGTGCCACAAAGAGGGACTTAGGAAAATTACAATTGGCCCAGAACAGGGCAATTGTTATTTACGGAGAGCCAGGGTCACACTCCAACACTCAGACATCATTTACAAACGAAGCATGTGTGTTTAGTGAGTCCGCCAGATCAGAGGCAGTAGAGATGACCAGGGATGTTCTCTCAATAAGTGTGTGAATTGGACCATTGTTCTGCTAAGCATTCAAAATGTAACAAGTACTTTTGGGTGTCACGGAAAATGTAGTGAAGTAAAAGTAAAAGTTGTCAAAAATATAAATAGTAAAGTAAAGTACAGATACCTGAAAAAAACAACTTAAGTACCCCACAAGACATTGTCACGGTTTCGGCCGAGGCTGCTCCTCCTCCTGGTTCGGGCAGGCTTCGGCGTTCGCCGTCCCCGGAATACTAGCTGCCACCGTTGTATGTTTCGTGTGTTGATTGTTTTGGTCTGTCTGGTACACCTGTGTCTGTTTGTGTCCTAATTACGTGTCCTATAAGTTCCCTGTTTTGTGTTAGTTATATTGTGTGTTGTTGTCCGCGTGTCTTTTGAGCTGCGTGTTTTGCGCTCTTCATGGTATTTGTTTTACGCATGTTGCGTACTGTTTCTCGCCTCTGTATTTTCGAGGTCGTGTATGGATTATTGTGCACTTTACTAATAGTAAAGTTTGTTGGACTAAACCTCTGTGTCCTGCGCCTGACTTCTCATCACATCCACATCGGTACCATACTGACAGAACAACACACCACTTATGGAGTCAGCAGGATCAGCGACGACAGCCTGGTCACTAGAAGAACGGCTCAGTCAGCAGGACTCCATGATCCGGCAACTGGAGGCCGTTCTAGGCGAGGTGTCCAACACTCTGCACCGGTTGGCTAGTGGAGAGGTGCCCACGTCCACATAAACCATCCCATCGCCACCGGTCAATCCTCCTCTCTCAGCGCCGGAACCCAGTGGTATTCGGCTCTCGCTCCCGAGGGCATATGACGGTTCTGCAGCCGGGTGTCAGGGGTTCCTCCTGCAAATAGAACTATACCTGGCTACTATACACCCAGCGCCCTCGGGATACGAGAGCGTCTCCGCCCTCATCTCCTGTCTATCCGGTAAGGCGTTGGAATGGGCCAACGCCGAATGGAGGAGAATAGACGCAGCTACCATCACCTACGCTGAGTTCTCCCCGCCGCTTCCGGGCAGTCTTCGATCACCCACCTGAAGGGAAGGCGGCGGGGGAGCGTCTGTTCTACCTCCGACAGGAGAAGAGGAGCGCACAGGAGTTCGCACTGGAGTTCCGGACGTTAGCTGCGGATGCGGGATGGAATGAGAGGGCCCTCATCGACCAGTACCGGTGTAGCCTGCGAGAGGACGTTCGTCGTGAGCTGGCCTGCAGGGACACCAACCTATGCTTCGACCAGCTGGTGGACATCTCCATCCGGCTTGACACCCTGCTGGCCACCCGCGGACGTCCCGAGTGGGGGTCGTCCATTCCATCCTCCAGCACCTCCGAGCCAATTCCTATGGAGCTCGGGGGTGCTGGCGCTAGAGAGAGGAGGAGGGAGAACCCGAGGAGGGCCACCCCCTGCACCAACTGTGGCCGTGGAGGACACACCGCGGCCAGGTGCTGGGGAGGGTCTTCTGAGAGAGGGGACAACAGGTCACGCACTGGGGAGTCATTTCAGGTGAGTAGGCGCCCCACTTACCCAGAGCTCTCTGTTGGTCACATGAGTATTCCTGTGCGTTTTCCACAGGTGGCACCTCATTCCCAGCATAAGGCGCTAGTAGATTCAGGCGCAGCTGGGAACTTTATTGATCGGGCATTTTGTGCTAGGTTAGGAATTCCCCTTCGGCCGGTAGAAGTTCCATTCCCTGTCCATGCATTAGACAGCCGGCCGTTGGGGTCGGGTCTGATCAGGGATGTCACAGCACCGCTGACGATGACTACGCAGGGGGGTCATGAGGAAATCATTCAGTTCTATCTGATTGACTCTCCTGCGTACCCAGTGGTGTTGGGGCTTCCCTGGTTAAGCACCCACGATCCTACCATAGCGTGGCAACAGAGGGCTCTTATGGAGTGGTCTGCCCAGTGTGTAGGGAGATGTCTAGGTGTTTCCATAGGGGCGACCTCGGTAGAGAGTCCGAACCAAGTGCCCGCACTGCGCATTCCCCCCGAGTATGAGGATTTAGCACTAGCGTTTAGCAAATCGAGGGCAGCACGGCTACCTCCTCATAGACAGGGGGACTGTGCGATAAATCTCCAGACCGGAGCAGCTTTTCCCAGGAGTCATGTGTATCCCCTGTCTCAAGAGGAAACTGCGGCTATGGAGACTTACATAGCCGAGTCCTTGGCACAGGGATACATACGGCCCTCTACTTCTCCAGTCTCCTCGAGTTTCTTCTTTGTGAAGAAGAAGGACGGGGGATTGCGCCCGTGTATTGATTACCGTAGTCTCAATCAGATCACAGTAAAATACAGTTACCCACTTCCACTGATTGCGACGATGACGGAGTCATTACGCGGAGCGCAGTTCTTCACAAAGTTGGATCTCAGGAGCGCGTACAATTTGGTGCGCATTAGGGAGGGGGATGAATGGAAAACAGCATTTAGCACCACCTCGGGTCATTACGAGTATCTCGTCATGCCGTACGGGTTAATGAATGCTCCTTCAGTCTTCCAATCCTTTGTTGATGAGATTTTCCGGGACATGCATGGGCAGGGTGTAGTGGTGTACATTGACGACATTCTAGTGTATTCTTCTACACGAGCCGAGCATGTAGCCCAGGTGCGCCGAGTATTGAGACGACTGTTGGAGCATGACTTGTATGTCAAGGCAGAGAAATGCCTGTTCTTCCAGGAGTCCGTCTCCTTTTTGGGTTATCGGTTGTCCGCGTCTGGCGTGGAGATAGAGGTAGATCGGGTATCGGCTGTGCGTAATTGGCAAACTCCAACCACCGTAAAAGAGGTGCAGCGGTTCTTGGGTTTTGCTAATTACTACCGGAGGTTTATCCGGGGCTTTGGACAGGTTGCAGCTCCCATTACGTCCCTGCTAAAGGGGGGTCCGGTGCGCTTGCAGTGGTCAGCTGAGGCGGACAGGGCATTTGTCAAGCTGAAGAACCTGTTCGCCTCGGCCCCGGTGCTGGCGCATCCGGATCCCTCTTTGCCTTTCCAAGTAGAGGTGGACGCGTCCGAGACCGGTATTGGGGCAGTCCTGTCACAACGGTCCGGCACGCCACCTAAGCTCCGCCCCTGTGCGTTCTACTCCAAGAAGCTCAGCTCGGCGGAGCGCAATTATGACGTTGGGGACAGGGAGCTGTTAGCTGTAGGTGTGGAGGCATTGGCTTGAGGGGGCTCAACACCCTTTTCTCATTCTGACTGATCACCGTAACCTGGAGTACATCCGGGCAGCTAGGAGATTGAACCCTCGTCAGGCTAGGTGGAACATGTTCCTGACCCGGTTTGTTTTTAAGATCACATACATCCCTGGGTTCCAGAACGGTAAGGCAGACGCACTGTCCCGGCAGTATGACACGGAGGAGAGGTCCATTGAGCCTACTTCCATACTGCCGGAGTCTTGTCTGGTGGCTCCGGTAGTATGGGAGGTCGATGCGGAAATCGAGCGGGCGCTGCGTACCGACCCTACTCCCCCCCGAGTGTCCTGTGGGGCGGACGTACGTTCCGCTCGAGGTTCGTGATCGGCTTATTTCTTGGGCTCATACATCACCCTCCTCTGGACATCCTGGTATTGGTCGGACGGTGCACTGCCTTAGCGTGAAATACTGGTGGCCAACGTTAGCCAGGGATGTGAGGGTTTATGTCTCCTCCTGCTCGGTGTGTGCCCAGTGTAAGGCACCTAGACATTTGCCCAGGGGTAAGTTACATCCTCTGCCCGTTCCACAACGACCATGGTCCCACCTCTCGGTAGATTTTGTGACCGATCTACCCCCTTCCCAGGGTAATATGGGGCGGCAGGTAGCTTAGTGGGTAAGAGCGTTGTGCCAGTAACCGAAAGGTCGCTGGTTCTAATCCCCAAGCCGACTAGGTGAAAAATCTGTCGATGTGCCCTTGAGCAAGGCACTTAACCCTAATCGCTCCTGTAAGTCGCTCTGGATAAGAGCGTCTGCTAAATGACTAATTTTTTTTTTTTTTTTTTGTAATACCACCATTTTGGTCGTTGTGGATCGGTTTTCTAAGGCCTGTCGTCTCCTCCCACTGCCGGGTCTCCCTACTGCCCTACAGACCGCCGAGGCCCTCTTTACCCACGTGTTCCGGCACTATGGGGTCCCCGAGGATATTGTGTCCGACCGAGGTCCCCAGTTCACCTCCAGAGTCTGGGGGGCTTTCATGGAACGCCTGGGGGTCTCGGTTAGCCTTACCTCGGGGTACCACCCAGAGAGCAATGGGCAGGTTGAACGTGTGAACCAGGATGTGGGTAGGTTTTTGAGGTCCTATTGCCGGGACCGGCCGGAGGAGTGGTCGAGGTATATCCCCTGGGCAGAGATGGCCCAGAACTCTCTCCGCCACTCCTCCACCGGATTAACACCTTTCCAGTGTATTTTAGGGTATCAGCCGGTCCTGGCACCATGGCACGAGAGCCAGACCGAGGCCCCTGCGGTGGACGAGTGGATTCGGCGCTCGGAAGAGACGTGGGACGCTGCCCATGTCCATCTGCAGCGTGCCATCCGTCAACAGAAGGCGAGCGCCGATCGCCACCGCAGTGAGGGGCCGGTGTACGCACCGGGAGATCGAGTCTGGCTCTCGACTCGAAACCTGCCCCTCCGCCTGCCCTGCCGGAAGCTGGGTCGGCGGTTTGTGGGGCCCTCCAAAGTCCTGAGAAGATTGAACGAGGTGTGTTACAGATTACAACTGCCTATTGAGTACAAAAATATTAACCCCTCGTTCCATGTGTCTCTTCTCAGGCCGGTGGTAGCTGGTCCACTCCAAGAGGAGGAGATAGGAGAGACCCCTCCACCCCCTTTGGACATCGAGGGGGCACCGGCGTACAGGGTCCGGACTATATTGGACTCGAGGCGCCGGAGGAGTGGTCTCCAGTATCTCGTGGAGTGGGAGGGGTACGGTCCGGAGGAACGGTGCTGGGTGCCTAGGAGGGACATCCTCGACCCATCCCTCCTGACAGAGTTCCACCGTGGGCATCCCACGCGCCCGGGTCTGCGTCCTCCTGGCCGTCCCCGAGACCGGGGTCAGCGCACGGCTGGAGCCGCGCGTCAAGGGGGGGGTACTGTCACGGTTTCGGCCGAGGCTGCTCCTCCTCCTGGTTCGGGCAGGCTTCGGCGTTCGCCGTCCCCGGAATACTAGCTGCCACCGTTGTAAGTTTCGTGTGTTGATTGTTTTGGTCTGTCTGGTACACCTGTGTCTGTTTGTGTCCTAATTACGTGTGCTATAAGTTCCCTGTTTTGTGTTAGTTATATTGTGTGTTGTTGTCCGCGTGTCTTTTGAGCTGCGTGTTTTGCGCTCTTCATGGTATTTGTTTTACGCATGTTGCGTACTGTTTCTCGCCTCTGTATTTTCGAGGTCGTGTATGGATTATTGTGCACTTTACTAATAGTAAAGTTTGTTGGACTAAACCTCTGTGTCCTGCGCCTGACTTCTCATCACATCCACATCGGTACCATACTGACAGACATGCCACCAGAGGTCTCTTCACAGTCCCCAAGTCCAAAACAGACTATGGGAGGCGCACAGTACTACGTAGAGCCATAACTACATGGAACTCTATTCCACATCAAGTAACTGTGCCTGAGGGCACACATTTAATTTGTTGTGAAATCTGTTGTAAAATGTTTTTTAATTGTATATAACTGCCTTAATTTTGCTGGACCCCAGGAAGAGTAGCTGCTGCCTTGGTAGCAGCTAATGGGGATCCATAATACATGCAAATACAAATCCTGAATAGGCCTAATCATCTTATAAATTAATTAATAGTGCTTTATTACAAAGTATAATAAATAGACTACTAAGGTACTCAATAAATACTTTTTTTCTATCTAACACGTCCAGGCAGGAATGCATGATTCAAGATATTTTTATGTGCAACCTACACCTACTCATTCAAGGGTTTTTCTATATTTTTACTATTTTCTACATTGTAGAATAATAGTGAAGACATCAAAACTATGAAATATCACATATGGAATCATGTAGTAACCAAAAAAGTGTTAAACAAATCAAAATATATTATATATTTGAGATTCTTCAAATAGACACCCTTTGCCTTGATGACAGCTTTGCAAACTCTTGGCATTCTCTCAACCAGCTTCATGAGGTAGTCACCTGAGAATGCATTTCTAAATAAACTAAAGTAAAGGGGACTTGGGTTGATCATGATGAGCTAAGCCCCTCTCACTAATCTCAGTGTGTGTTGATGCTACAGTGGTTTAGCAGCAAAAACAATCAAACAAACAATGGTTTGTTTTATGTTTGGAGTTTTGTGTTAAGACAACGGTAAAGCGAAGGTATCACTTTTTCCTCTCTAGAATGCCCTACGTTCTACTTTTATACAAGGTTTTCCCATGTGTGGATGTGCATAATGTGTGTGTGTTTATGTGTGGCGGTGTGTGTGACTGGGTCTGTGTACAGCGTGTCTGTTGTATACCTGTTGGTCGACTCCCACTGCATCTAATCCATCATACATGATGTCCACCCAACCATCCTTAGAGGCCAGCACGAAGAGAGACATCAGAGCCTGAGAGAGAGAGAGAGAGAGAGAGAGAGAGAGAGAGAGAGAGAGAGAGAGAGAGAGAAGGGGGGTGATAGAAAGAGGGTCACAAACAAGGTTTCCACAAGGCATTTTAGAAAGAAAGTGGTGAAGATACATTCCACTGCAAGTATTGAGAATCATACCTGTGCCAGGTTATCAAAGTTGTACTGCTGTCGAACCCATTTGTGGTTGGCCATTATACAGTCTGACTTGTTGGTGATGTTTCTCACGTCATCTCCCTGACACGCAAAGAACTTCCCCTTGAAGAGCTGGAGAGAAAGAAAAAAAAATTGCGCACACAAACACACACACACACACACACACACACACACACACACACACACACACATACGCCATGGTCACACTAATGCCATCATTATGGTAAATTCCAATTGCTCTACTTATTCCATGATAGGATTCCCTTGCATGTCCTCGCGTGATTGATAGGAGTGTAACTGACGCACAGCCATCATACAGTCTGACTTGTTAGTGACACACACACACACACACACACACCCCACCCCACACCCCCAAACACACACACAGGTGACATGCAATGAACCCGAACAAAGATGATCTTATATCAGTACATTTGTAACAACCTAAACATTACAAAACTTCTATTCGATCAAATACGCCTCACATAATTCGACACTCTATTAGACCTCCATACAAAAATGGGCTTGTCTCACTAGGACAGATTTTGGGCGGAGTAAATCCTCTCGCTTCGCCTCATCTTCTCTGACCCGGACCCCAAGGACATCTAACTCGTTAGTGTAAATTGGACAATGGACTAACGGCCATGTCTTCTCCATCTATATGACTTGACAAGCAGGGCTGAGCCCTCACACCTGAGGTATAGCCCAGAAACGCCTGGAAGAGCACTTTTTCTGCTGACATGTCTCATGAAAAAAACTTTTTCTCAGAGGTGTTCCCTGATGTACGACCTAAGAGTCCTCTCAGGGGGTGATTGGAGAAGAGGGGGCTTATGGGTAATGCCATATTAGCCACTTGTCAGTTACAGTCCAGTGATAGTGTTGTCACTCTTATCCCAAAACCAGTCTGGTTTTAGAGCAAAACATAGTACAATCTCAGCTGCAACCAAGATAATCAGTGATCTTCAGGATGCACAGGACAACAAACTGCATTGTGTTTCACTTTTTATTGATTTTTCAAAAGCCTTCTACACTGTTGACCAAGCCCTGTTGCTGCGTAGATTAGAAAAAATTGGTTTTGGTTCTGGAGCGTTGGATTGGTTCCAAAACTACCTCTCCGACAGAACACAGTGTGGCACAGAAGGGCATGAAGTTAGAGTTTCGACAGCTCACGAAAGGAGTCCCTCAAGGGTTCATTAAACATAAGGCCCGCGGGGGGACTAAAACCAAATCTTGAGCAGCTCGCTAATAATAATCTAAATGAAAGCTAGACAGTCAGGGAGCATAAAAAATTCCAAAAACGATGGATAGAAGACCATTTTTTGCTAATTTTGACGGAGTGGAAATATAACAAATTTTCAGTGCGTCTCTCCGGACCTCGTTAAAGACTGAATGCAGCCCCCGGGGAAAAATGAGTTTGATACCCCTGAATTAGATCAGTGGTTCTCAATCCTGGTCCTGGGGACCCAAAGGGGTGCACATTTTTGTTTTTGCCCTAGTACTACACAGCTGATTCAAATGATCAACTCATCATCAAGCTTTGATGATTTGAATCAGGTCTGCAGTACTAAGGCAAAAACTAAAAAGTGCATCAATTTGTGTCCCCCGGACCAGGATTGAGAACCACTGGGTTAGACGAAAAGATCCGTTTTAAACAGCACATTGAAAACGTGGAAAATAAACTGAAATTGGGTTTTTATTTTAGGAACAAATATATTTTTTCTATATCAGTTAGGAAGGATTTTGTGCAAGGGACATTTTTATCTGTGTTGGACTATGTTGACATGATTTACATGCGAGCCTCTGCCATTACCCTTAAGGAACTGGGCGTGATGTATCACGGAGTGCTTAGGTTCATAACTAATGCAAGACCACCCACCCATCACTGTAAACTACAGTACATGACATGGTGAAGTGTCCCTCCCTTCCTACCAGAAGGCTTAAGCAATGGTACATATTTGTGTCCAAAGCAGTGCTTGGGCTACTCCCATAATATCTTTGATCCTCGCTAACAACAACGTCACAATCCTACAGCCTCTGCTCTCAGTCAGTGCTCTCATTCATAGCTCTTCTGACAAGGACTGAAATGGGGAAGCAATCCTACAATGCTCTTGGTCTTGGAACGAGCAATAAAATACTATAAAACTGGAGGAGAGGGTGTCGCTGTCTGAGTTTAAAGCTCTGATAGAAGAAAATGTTATTGACCATTGTAATTGTTGTTTATGTATTGTATTGTGCTCTTGTGTTATGTGTACATGCTAACTACTTCCTGCTGACCTCATAGGTTTCTAACCACAAGGGTATTTTCCTGGTTAAATAAAGGTAAAACATTATTATAATAATAATAATAAACTCTCAGGTGGAGAGAAGAGTTTGGTGTGTATAAGGAGTAGAGATGAGTTCTCATACCAAAGTTATTAAGGTGTGAAAACTGCTTGAAATAAAACATTTCCCTGACATTGGTTGGTTGATATTATTTTATTTTTTGTATGGGTTGCATAAATTGTCTATTCTCACCTGTACTCCCAGGATACCAAAGATTATGAAGAAAGCGCAGCAGATGACCACGATGTTCCCGATAGGCTTCAGAGACGACATCAGAGTCTCCACTACCAGCTTCAGACCTGGGGCCCTGCTGATCACACTGGAGATCACGGAGAGACACAGAGGCACAATGTTAAACTTATAAGACTGATGAAGAGTGCAGGAGAGAGAGAAAGAGAGAGAGTTGTTTAGATCTGTTACAGAGCAGCCAGGCCAGATGGAGACGCAGGTGGCTCTCCCTCCACCTCTTCCCCTTCCCTTCTCCTTCCTTCCACTTCCCCTTTCACATTGTCTCCTACCCCTCCGTCCTTCTTTCTGTCACAGCGAATCAGTGACGGTCAATTGCCCTCACCCCTCCAGTACCTCTTCCCCTCTCTCTCCCCCTAATCAGTATGTATCTGTACTATCTATCTGTCTGTCTCTTTACCTGTCTGTCTTTCTACCTCTCTGTCTTTCTAACCTCTCTGGCCCCCCTTTCCCCCCTTGTCGTCTTTTTTGGGAAAAGGGCCCGGGCAGTTTAACCCTGGGGGAATTTGGTGTTTTCCCCCCAGCCCCCGGTTGAGTCCCGGGGCCCCAAAAGGGAGAGGGAGGGGGAGTGGGGGGGAAATCAAATTTCCCTTAAGAAAATTAAAGAGAAGATATAAGGGGAAAAAAGGAGACAAGACCAGATAAATAACACGGACCCATAACCCAGATTTGGAGAAAACGCCCTTTAAATCGGAAATAAAAAAAAGAAAGAAAAAAGCAAAACAAAACCCCCCCCAAAAAACCCAAAAAAAGGGGGTTTTAAAAAAGGGGGAACCCCTGCCCAAGGAAAAAACCCCTTTTTTTCCCCCCCCTTTTCCCCCCCCCCGGGGGCCCCCTTGGCTTTTGCCAAACCGGTTGGGAATAGACTCAATCTGGGGCGTATGGCGTTTCCTCGTCTCATTTCCCTTTTATTAAAAAGGCCCCAGGTTTGAAAATTACAAAAAAATAACCGGGTTCCTCCCTCTTTTCCCTCTCAAATCTTCCCCTTTTACCCCTCCGGGCCCCTACCCCCTCCCTTAATTCTTCTTTTCTTCCCCCCTCTCCCCCTCCCCCTTCTTCTTCTTTCTCTCTTCCTCCCCCCTCTTTTCCCCTCTCCCCCTCTCTATTGGGTAAAACTTGGTGTAGGGGTGGGGGCCCATGGTTTCTACAAGGTTGTCGAAATTTGGTTCTACAGGGTAAATGCCACATGTTGACCCCCAAATTTTCCCACGGGTTGTCCCAAGTTTTTAGGGATTTCCTTTTGGTGAGGGACCATTTGATACACCAGGAAACTTTTTGAGCAGAAAAACCCACGGTTTGCCTTTTTTGGACAAAAAACCGGGGGGTCCCGGCCCCTACTCCCTCCCCCTTTTCAAAGGCATTACAGTGGGGAAAAAAGTTTTAGTCGGGCCAACCCTTTTGGTCCCAAGTTCCCCCCCAACTTAAAAAAAAAGGGGGGGGCCCTTAAAAAGATTGAGAGATGGCCTGTAAATTTTCATCATCAGGTTACCCGTCAACTATGACAGACAAATTGAGAAAAAAAATAATCCAGAAAATCACATTGTGGATTTGTTATGAATTTATTTGCAAATTATGGTGGAAAATAAGTATTTGGTCAATAACAAAAGTTTCTCAATACTTTGTTATATACCCCTTGTTGGCAATGACACAGGTCAAACGTTTTCTGTAAGTCTTCACAAGGTTTTCACACACTGTTGCTGGTATTTTGGCCCATTCCTCCATGCAGATCTCCTCTAGAGCAGTGATGTTTTGGGGCTGTCGCTGGGCAACACGGACTTTCAACTCCCTCCAAAGATTTTCTATGGGGTTGAGATCTGGAGACTGGCTTGGCCACTCCAGGACCTTGAAATGCTTCTTACGAAGCCACTCCTTCGTTGCCCGGGAGGTGTGTTTGGGATCATTGTCATGCTAAAAGACCCAGCCATGTTTCATCTTCAATGCCCTTGCTGATGGAAGGAGGTTTTCACTCAAAATCTCACGATACATGGCCCCATTCATTCTTTCCTTTACACGGATCAGTCGTCCTGGTCCCTTTGCAGAAAAACAGCCCCAAAGCATGAAGTTTCCACCCCCATGCTTCACAGTAGGTATGGTGTTCTTTGGATGCAACTCAGCATTCTTTGTCCTCCAAACACGATGAGTTGAGTTTTTACCAAAAAGTTATATTTTGGTTTCATCTGACCATATGACATTCTCCCAATCCTCTTCTGGATCATCCAAATGCACTCTAGCAAACTTCAGACGGGCCTGGACATGTACTGGCTTAAGCAGGGGGAAACGTCTGGCAATGCAGGATTTGAGTCCCTGGCGGAGTAGTGTGTTACTGATGGTAGGCTTTGTTACTTTGGTCCCAGCTCTCTGCAGGTCATTCACTAGGTCCCCCCGTGTGATTCTGGGATTTTTGCTCACCGTTCTTGTGATCATTTTGACCCCACGGGGTGAGATCTTGCGTGGAGCCCCAGATCGAGGGAGATTATCAGTGGTCTTGTATGTCTTCCATTTCCTAATAATTGCTCCCACAGTTGATTTCTTCAAACCAAGCTGCTTACCTATTGCAGATTCAGTCTTCCCAGCCTGGTGCAGGTCTACAATTTTGTTTCTGGTGTCCTTTGACAGCTCTTTGGTCTTGACCATAGTGGAGTTTGGAGTGTGACTGTTTGAGGTTGTGGACAGGTGTCTTTTATACTGATAACACGTTCAAACAGGTGCCATTAATACAGGTAACGAGTGGAGGACAGCGGAGCCTCTTAAAGAAGAAGTTACAGGTCTGTGAGAGCCAGAAATCTTGCTTGTTTGTAGGTGACCAAATACTTATTTTCCACCATAATTTGCAAATAAATTCATTAAAAATCCTACAATGTGATTTTCTGGAAAAAAAATTATCTATTTGTCTGTCATAGTTGACGTGTACCTATGATGAAAATGACAGGCCTCTCTCATCTTTTTAAGTGGGAGAACTTGCACAATTGGTGGCTGACTAAATACTTTTTTTCCCCACTGTACATATTTTGTCTTGCCCGTTCTCCCTCAGAATGGCACACATGCACAATCCATGTCTCAATTGTCTAAAGGCTGTATTTGGCTGTATTTACCTGGTCAGTCTATGTCATGGAAAGATCAGGTGTTCACTTTAGTGTATATAAAACATTATATATTATTACACCTCCACAGCTACACAACAATTTGATTATTACACCTCCACAGCTACACAACAATCTGATTATTACACCTCCACAGCTACACAACAATCTGATTATTACACCTCCACAGCTACACAACAATCTGATTATTACACCTCCACAGCTACACAACAATCTGATTATTACACCTCCACAGCTACACAACAATCTGATTATTACACCTCCACAGCTACACAACAATCTGATTATTACACCTCCACAGCTACACAACAATCTGATTATTACACCTCCACAGCTACACAAACAATCTGATTATTACACCTCCACAGCTACACAACAATCTGATTATTACACCTCCACAGCTACACAACAATCTGATTATTACACCTCCACAGCTACACAACAATCTGATTATTATACTTCCACAGTTCTGTCCAGGGAGAGATGGACAGAACGAGAGATGGATGGAGGGATGGATAGAGGGAGGTACTTTAGAGATGGAGGGAGAGGGGGAGGGAGAGATGGACAGAACGAGAGATGGATGGAGGGATGGATAGAGGGAGGTACTTTAGAGATGGAGGGAGAGGGGGAGGGAGAGATGGACAGAACGAGAGATGGATGGAGGGATGATAGGAGGGATGGTACTTTAGAGATGGAGGGAGAGGGGGGGAGGGAGAGAGATGGACAGAACGAGAGATGGATGGAGGGATGGATAGAGGGAGGTACTTTAGAGATGGAGGGAGAGGGGGAGGGAGAGATGGACAGAACGAGAGATGGATGGAGGGATGGATAGAGGGAGGTACTTTAGAGATGGAGGGAGAGGGGGAGGGAGAGATGGACAGAACGAGAGATGGATGGAGGGATGGATAGAGGGAGGTACTTTAGAGATGGAGGGAGAGGGGGAGGGAGAGATGGACCCTACCCTACCCCTGCATTACTTCTCCTCTCTCTCTCCTCCTCTTCTCTTTCTATGTCTCCTCCCGTTCTCTCCAGATATGAAACATACCTTTCAATTTCACTCTGGTATTATATTCACTATGAAATTACCAGCACTTAGGTTTCTTACTGTGTTTGTGTCTTTTCCACTGGCTGAGTTTGAATCCACTCATTGTGAGACACTCTTCTGGATGAAATCATCAGTTAAGTGACTGGGATGTAAAATGCACATTTGAACCACATGAGTCAGGGAGTCATGCAGACACCTATGTTTGGAGGCTGTTTTCATTAATGTGGGAGTTAACGAGGCGTCCAGTCATGGGGCGAGGGGTACGAGGATAGAACCCCCCAGATAATTACATCACCTACTGGGAGAGACGGATGAGCCAAAACACACAGCTGACAGGGTTAACCGAGAGGGAAGACAGAGAGGATACATCAATAAACAACGTGGCTAACACTCCTGACCCCTGCCACCCTGGCATTTTGGAACAGTCTATCTTCCCTCTGGTTGCAGCTAGTTGTGAGAGAGCTAAGTTGACATAAGGTGACTTAAGGAGAAATAAAGGGGATGTAAGGTGACTTAAAGGGGACATTTAGGTGCTAACAACAGGATTCCCCGTGGTGAAGCCTGAACTGAGGTCACAGTCTTGATGGATGAACAGAGCAGTGTGTATGTGCCGCTTTAAACAAAGACACACACACACACTCCTCTCTGCTTCTGTAAAATGGCATCATTAATATCCCTAATGAGGAAAACCAACACACACACCTGCAGACAGAGACACAAATACACACACATGCACACACACATGCACTGGTATCTGGGACAATGTGAGTAGTTGGAGTAGAGTGTAGGATCTTTGTTTTCTTCTCTTCTTCTCTTTCCTGTCTTCCCTACTTCAGCATATCCTGTAAGCAGAGTGTTTCGAACAGAAACGTCACTGAGGATGGATGAATGGATAAAAAGAGGAGTAAAGAGGAACAGGGACTCTTACTCACTGGCCGTAATGTCACCTCAGTCAGAGATGTATATAATGTCTG